CAGGTCGACCAATGAATATTCACTTTCGACAAAATTCTAGGAATACTTGTAGTTCCGGCCCTAGTGTTGTTCATAGATGGGCAGACAGACGGTCGGACGGTTTGAAAAAAAAAAAACAAATCAAAAGACAACAACGCTTTTTCTATTTCAAAACATGCATTTCGTGGAAATCTCAAAATCGATTTTCCGCATCATTACATAACTTACTCTATACTACATATATTTTCAGATAGACGTACGTATACTAGAATGTAAAACCAATCTTGTGGTGCGGAAAATAGCGAAAGCATTATCTGATAAATTCCAGTCGGACCACAAGAGAACAGCCTGCTTGCCTGCCTCGCTCCCAGCCCGCTCCCCCTACCTCTACTGTGAATACTTCCGTGTCTCGGAGCTGGCGCCCCCACGCGCACCGGCGGTGGTGGCGGCGGCGCGGCATGGGGGAGGGAGGCATTGTATTTTGCCCAATTTCACTTTACATCCGACACACTATTCAGCCAATTGATACAGCGCTGTATTCAGGAAGCTCTTCGCCATCGCGCTACAAGACCACATTTTTTTAATTTCTTCCCAGAAATATTTAAAAAAATCCCAAAACTTATTTTTCAATTTTTTTCAGAGGCTTCGTAGCGTAAATGGTATATTAAATACAAATCATATGTCGTTTACTGTTTGAAAATCGGGCCACTTGTTCACACGTTATTAGTAAAGTAATTTTGGCTTATTTTGGTGCTGCTATGCGGTGGCGACAAATTAAACTAGTGTCGGTACATTTCACTTTGGACAAATAAAGTTAGTTATCAAAAAAATTACCTCATTTGCCCATGCCACCTGCAAGAGTATAGTTAGTGTAGTTACAAAAAGTTTCTATCAATGAGTAACAAAACCCCTCCCCAATATGATCCAAACTATCTTTTCAAAATTATTTGCTTCTATAATTTGCTTTCGTATTAAGCACTTGGTTTCAGCCATGTTTCAGTAATACAAACAAAATTAATATTATTCAAATTATGTTTGAACAATGAAGAAAGTGTATTTCCCTTCTTTATAATGTTTTTATAAAGCAAACAGAAAGTAAATACATTAGTTTTCAAGGCTACTTCTCTGGTATCACTTGCTTCTACATTATTTTTGGAATGTCATCCACACAACATAAAGTCCAAAGTTATTTGTATCAATGGAGGTTTTAATAGCTGTCTCTGTAATGGACACCTTCAAATGCAGAAGTTGATTGTCCCGATCCTTCATAATTTCCAAAATTTATTCATGAATGATACAGCATCATTTTGTATGGTGAAAATAAGTTTTAGAGGTCAGTTATGTATTGCCAGCAATGAGCTTGGCAACTGAAAGATTTTATGATGTCATCATACTTTAATCCAGGATCAGTTAATCTCTTTTTTGCAATAACATTGGCTGTTTTGATCTATTGTGACATATAACCAGCCTCCTCATGGATCTTAAAAATCATGACATTATTTAATTTAGTCAAGTGCTCTGAAACTTCTTTCATGACCTCATCCTTACAAGAATTTATATTACCTTCAATCTTATCAACACCATACTCCAGTGATGTAGTTGATTAAATATATACCATTGTCTTCTCATAATTATTATAGACTTCTCATAATATATTATATAAATTTAGCTGAGAGGGAATCCAGTGATGTGTTCACCTTAGAGACATTGTCTTGCAAGTCTTAAATTTCCTTTGTAAGAAGTTTAATTACAGCGAGCTCAGGCACGAATCTCTCCTGAATCAACCGCTCTAAAACTGCTTTGATGACCTCATCCTTACTAGCATTTATGAGCTAAACTAAACTAAACTTTCATTGACAGGGGAAATGAGAGTACCGCGAAAAATCCTGCCACACTCACTTTATTCACCTCAAATTCCACTTGGAAACATCCACCACAAATTTCACTTGGTAGAAGGCGAGCTACAAATGCACCCAAACTAGATTTTATGTTACCTTCAACCTTATCAACACCATACCCCAATGATGTTGAAGTAGATGAAATATGTATTTACATACTGTCAGGAGGATAGAAGAAGCAGAAGTTCGCAATACTATCAATGCACCTTCACAGCTTGGACGATACTACTTATCTGAGCCTTCACTAAGTACAGCAGATTCAACTTTGCAATTGTTGTCACAATAGGCACACTCAACTGTAGAGCCACGAGTTCTTGGCTTGCCACATATATAAACTATATAGACACAGATTGGATTACAGAGTTTCAAAACTTTTATCGATTCTGCATTTCAAAGGGTTTGCCAGAGTTTGAGTAGCAAAGTGGGTAATCCTAATGAAAGTTGTGCAAAATCTTCTATGCAGTTTTTGGTTAAAAGTTTGTCCCAAGCAGAATCTATGGAAGAGAAAAGTGAAGAAAGATTCAAGATAGGATAAGAAAGAGTAATAATGGAAATGAATGCAGGATGTCAATTGAAATTTATATTCCAAACTTTCATAAAGAGAAGGAAGTAAGAGTCAAAACTCATTAAACTTCCTCAGAATGGAGTGCAAACCTGATGTAAGAGGGGATGGGAACAGGTGAGTCTCTCAAAGAAAGATGTGGTGGTGCGCACCCACAAAACTGTTTTCACAGACAGTCTCTAAGAATCTTTATTCACTAAGAAGTTATTTAATTTGAAGAGGGACCAAAAGACATCCATAGCAGTGATCTGCATGTAAGATAACTTTCAGAAATGGACATGAAACAGACTAACACTGAACTTCTAGTTTAGTATGAATTTTTTTGAAACGTTACATATAGTGTGCGCGCGCGTGTGGGTGAGTGTGCGCGCGCGCGCGTGTGTGTGTGTGTGTGTGTGTGAGTGTGTGCGCGCGGGCGTGTGTAATGCCAGATTTGTAACCAAAAAGCAGTAATATTATCAGGTAATATTTCTAATTAGAAGTTTGAAACAATCTGCTGGCCTGGTATTGATTTCAAGTACGAGGATATCTTATATTGTAATAATTTGTTTTATAACTTTAAAATAGATTAATAAATTTCATTTCCACATTGAAGTCATAATTATTGAATATATATAACTGTTTCAAAACTCCCTAAGGCCGATTTATTTTCTATTATTACCAAAACAATTCATTGAGAATTTTTCAAAACCATTCTTGCTATGAAAATTAGTCATATTTTGCAATATTTAGGCTTATTGCTTTCATCTAAACATATACCCATAACACGCCATACCTTTTCCCCTTTCTCTAAATTACATAAAACGGTAGTTACGGAATTGACAAATATATAAAATATATTTCTCTTCAATCAAAGCATTTTGGAACAAATTAATTAGTTTTCTCTATTATATATAGCTCCTGCAGCAATGTTTCAATTAGAAATAGAGTAAATGTATATTATTATCAAGATTAAGAAAGTTGGTCAGTTTATATTTAGAATTGAATTTTAGTTATTATTATTGTTACTGTTCATATTATTACTATTATTATTATTATTATTATTATTATTATTATTATTATTATTATTACTACTACTTCTACTACAACTACTACTACTATTTCTATTTATTGTTGTGAGGAAAGTTGGTGGGTTTGGTCTCCATATGCAAGATTTTTTTGCTCATTTAATATTATTTCTTTCAAGTCTAAGTCCACTACAATAAAAGATGCTTACAAAGACTTTTTATGAGAGGAAACTAAATATTACTAGCATGCCAACAGAAGCGCACATCATTTTAAGATCTATCTGTCTAATAAACAATTTTTTGTTTTTTTTAATTATGAACTACATTAACTGAAATGGCTTTAGCTTTTTGTTTACTAAATTATTATACATATTTTTAATCCATTCAATTGTAACTGAAATTTCTTGTATTACGTCTTGTTTGTCTCAATTCTGTCATGATTGCCTCCACTTTAAAAAATTCATTACCCCATTTATTTTTCTTTTGTTGCATTTTAATATTTATTAATTTTGTGAATATGATAAATTTACATGACAACATTATAGATGCTACTTTCTTCATTATATGACTGTGATGCCCTTAATTGAGTGAGAGCATTTTATATGTTCTGAGAAAAAACATGTTTATATAGTTTAGTGTCAATGTGAAGAAGTGGTTTTAGTAAAAAAAGAAATAATAAAAATAATATAATAATAATAATAATAATAATAATAATAATAATAATAATAATAATAATAAAATAATAATAATAAAATAATAAAATAATAATAATAAAATAATAATAAAAATATTTAAGGTTTGGTACTTGAATGAAGAAACTGAAGTTTGCATGAAATTGTCCAGAGTGTAAGAAATCAAGAAAATATAATTCATAATTGTATGTACATTAATTGTCTGTACATTAATTGTCTGTTTTTTTTTTGTTTTTTTTTTTCAAAATAAATATAATAAATTCCAAGTTGATTAAAGTCAGTTCATAAAGAAACAGTTTTTTTTTTTTGTTTTTGTTTTTTGTTTTTTGCATATTTCACATAAAATCATATTTATTGAAGCAAATTGCAATCATGTTGTTTCGACAATTGTTTCATTGTCATCTTCAGGACTCCCCAGGTTACAGAAATCTTTCATCATGAGATAAAAGTCCATGTCTTCTAAGTCTTCCACATTGGATCTGAGATACATCTCACTGATCACTGTGAGATATCTATGACAACTTCTAAGTTAGGTTTTTTTCTCATGATAACAGAATAATGTAACCTTGAGCACCTGAAGATTACAATGAAACAGTCGAAATGCCATGATTGTAACGTGCTCCAATAAAATGTATAACTTGTTTTTTTGATGTGAACTATCCAATAATCAGTTTCTTTACTAACTGTCTTCAATGTACTTGGGGCAAATGAACATTTTCTTTTTTTTTCCATTATGGCTTTAAAATGTTCTCATCGCTCTTCCCTCAATCTTTTTATATATTTGCTAACTTAAGATTACCTATAGATTGTGAATATTTGAATGTTGAAATTGATATTGATTTTTTTTTTCTTTTCTTTGCAGGCTACAATAAAGAAACTGGTTACAGTAACTGAAATGCTTAGTAAACACAAACAAAAATATTTGGAAATGATAAGATAGTTACTTGAAGTGTATAGTCCAATGTATGATCTGCAAGAACAATGAAATGGTATTCCAGTTAGCAGGAAATTTTTCTGCAATAAGGCGTGAATATTGTAGTAGCTTGTACTTGTGACCATTTTGAGGGCAATATGTATGGACAAAATATTATTTGTTGGAAGTATGCAAGTTGGTTAAACTCATCTGTATATTTTGGGAAGAAAACGAGTTTGGATTCTCAGAATTCTTTTTTCTCTTCCTTTTATGATAATTTTATTAGTTTTTTTATTCCTTGTAGAACAGACTTTTTATATGTATAACTGACTTCAAAAAACGAATACTGTTTGTTAAATTGTTGCCAGTGTTCTTATATTTGTTTTGTTAAATTGTAAAGGGATTCTTTCTACTTTGTTTTATATTGCTTTTTAGAAATTAGCCCTCAGTTTATTTAAACACAGATTTATATTGTGATTGAAAAATCTTGGTTGCCCTTCAACATTGAAATGCTTTCATGAGTAACAAGCAAGTGTGCTCAGGTGGATTTACTGAGCTTGTGGGAAAGTGAAGTAAATAGTAATTTCATAAATAAGATTAGAACATTTTGCTTGGTTCTATATTCCTAGATAGTGCTTACATGTGACTGAATCTACGTTGATCTGCCTTGAGAAGTGGTAGATATCCTTTTACACGTGAATTTTTTTATTACAGTGAGAATTTTTATAATACATCTCCATGTCTGATAGTGCAAATGATATGAATGAAATTAGTATGATTGTATTAATATTGTAAATATTTTGGTGCATTTTACCTCCTGCATTTTGTACAGAAAAATATTATGTAGTTATTGGGAGAAAATATAAATGAATATGTATGTGTAGTATTTAAATATAATTGTCTCGATTTTTGAATTTGAAACTTTACATACATTGTTTAGTGTCAAGTATACCTTGCATAGATCCTTTTTATTAAAAGAAAGCCAGTGTAAGTTGAATAAATATTAATATAGCAAAAACATGTGTTTGACAACCTGGGCTAATTTACTCCTTAATTCGACGAGATTTTCTGGCGTGTTGGCACGCTGGAACCTGTAAAGCAACATGACCAATTATACCCGTTTCCCAATTTCAGTTCTTTACCCGTATTTATTTCAATGATGCAATGCGTGAAACCTTCATTGCCGTTTATGAAATTAAAAATGCGACATCAATATAGAATTAGTTATTTGAATCCAACATATTTTTAATTTGGGTATTATGTAAGTGTCAATATTATCAGCTTAAATTCAAGCTTTCGATACCTTCCACGGCATATAAGCAGAATTTTGCAATCTCTGTGCACTTAGTAACATGTTGCTGCAGAAATAAAATTTCCGGGCACTTGTTTGTTTCCAATAAATTATTTTATTGATATTCGTTAATTTTACATGAATAGCACTAGTGAAGTGTCGCGCAGTGTCAAAAATATTTGATTAACATGACAATGCTTTAAAAAAAATCTATATAAATAGGTTTTGCAAAGTTGCCTGCTCTGTATACTGGCGTGACCAATCACGACCCTTGAGAGATTCTCGGCTACCGAGGTGGTATCCATGTTGTTTCTCTTTCACATACGTTGTTGAAAGGACGATGGCTACGAATAATTACTTTGGTTTTACTCATGGAGGAACGCAATATGGGTATGTATTAACACAAAACTGTAATGTACTTTAGTGTTGTTAATCTGAGGAAGTTTTTAAGTATAAAAAATAGTTTTATTGAGTGTATTAAAGACGTTGCGAAGTAAGATTCCCGGCGTTTTGTGATGGGTAATGTAAGGATGGCGACTGATGGCCATCCACCCCGTGAATTGCTATTTAGAAATGTTCATTGAGAAAACATGAATAGTCAGAATTAATTGCGAGTTGAATTAAATTTTAGCGAGTGAATAGTTCATATGTTTGGGTAGTTGTGGAGCGTAATCTTTGATGCATTGCTCCGTAATTCTATGAAGCATCATGCTGGCTCGACGCCATTTTGATATTGCAATTTTCTTTACAATTGTACATGCAGCAAAGGTGGGTTTTAAATTACTTTGTTTCATTCTAGTTCTCTTTACAGCGCAACAGGAGCTGCGGCTTATCAAACTGGTCAAACAGGATATGCTGTAACTCCCACTGCGGCTACTGCTGCCACTTATACTGCTCAGAGAGCGGGAACAGGCTATGAAACCGCTTACCAAACCGCAACCCATACCACACCAGGAACATATGCAGGTAAATAATTCTTAACAATTTGTAAAAAAAAATTTTTTTAATTACTTTTTCAATTTTGAATTACTGTGTACACCAATGAGCAGTTTTATTTTGAGAGATTAGGCTTCGATGTTGCAGTTGGTGCTGGCACAGCAGCTACAGCTACAACATATGATTATGGATATGGCCGAACTGCTCAGACTGCTTATGACAGCACAAAAACCTATTACCAACAACCTGCAGCGGCTGCTGCTGCAACATATTCCACTACTGATACTCATTATCAAGGTATGGAGAATAATACATTTATATTCTAATGGAATTTATTTTACTAGAATTTTATTTTAATAGAGTATTTGTTGTTTTTCAAATAATTTTTATTATAGTTGGTATTACGTGATGCAGTTTTCATTGTGATTTCTTTATTAGTGTATTTTCTGAAAAAGTGGATTTTTATAGCTAAATTTAAATTACTATTGTTAAGTGCAATTAAGTCCAACTTCAACATTTATGCTAAAGTTCATGAATCCATGAAGTATTGAGATTTCTTGTCCTAGGTTGTGTTGTCGTTCAGGAAAGTCTCCCAAATCCTTCTTTCATTTGGTATACATGATTTCCCTCTTAAGAGGTCATTAAACTACCCAAATTAAAGAAAATTATTTCATATTACTAATTGCAAGTTCAATTAAATTTCTAATGCCATTGTTCTCAAGTCAAATGAAAGCAAGAGGTTTTGTTAGTAGGGGAAACGGTTCAGTTCAAAATGCAGGTTGTTGTTGAAGGGTGTTTGTGTGTGTGTGGGTGTGTGTTGTGTGTGTGTGTGGATGTGACTGTGTGTGTGTGTGTGTGTGTGTGTGTGTGCGTGGTGCTGGTGTCGTGGTGTGTGTGTGTGGTGTGTGTGTGTGTGTGTGTGTTGTGGTGTGCTGTGTGTGTGTGTGGTGTGTGTGTGATGTTGTGTGTGTGTGTGTGTTGTGTGTGGTGTGTGTGTGTGTGTGGTGGTGTGTGTGTGTGTGTGTGTGTGTGTGTGTGTGTGTGTGTGTGTGTGTGTGTGGTGTGTGTGTGTGTGTGTGTGTGTGTGTGTGTTCGATGTGTGTGTGTGTGGTGGGTGTGGTTGTGTGTGCTGTGTGTGTGTGTGTGTGTGTGGTGTTGTGGGTGTGTGTGTGTGTGGTGTTGTGTGTGTGGTGTGTGGTGTGTGTGGTGTGTGTTGTGATGTTGTGTGTGTGTGTGTGTGTGTGTGTGTGGTGTGAATGTGTGTGTGATGTGTGTGTGTGTGTGTGTGTGTGTGTGCACGTTTTTTTTTTTTTGTGCGAGTATGTTTTTGTTTTGTTGCAATATCAGCTTTTTGTGCACTTTGATTGTATTTGTTCATCTGTTGAAGGAGGCTAATTTAATTTGAAATTTTGCTCTGTTTTGTATCAAAGTAACATTTGGAGTAAATTGATTTCTTTCCTCTAATGCAATTTGGGGTTTCAGTTAATAATTTGGGTAAATTAAGCATTTTCTTAAAGGCAGCTGTAATGATAAGGATGTCTTCACCTAAATTGATATCAGATCATTATGGTGAACAAAGGTATGTAAGGCAGTTTTATGTTTATGAAAGAAGTGTGAGGTAAAAAAGTACTACCATATTCACTCAATTCTTCCCTCACATTTTTCTCAACTCAAGAAATCAGAAATATATAAATACCTTATAAGTTAGTAACTATATTAAAATTTTTCGAACGGATATTAAAAGTTTGAAAGATTATAAAATATTTGAAAGATGCTGTTTTTTCCATCAAGTTTCTACTCTCGAAAGTTACAGAAAAGTCTAAACAGAAAGTCCAGTTTACAATCTAAAAAGAAAAACTATAAATACATCATTAAAGATATTGAGTACTGTGAATAGAAACCTAGCTTTTACTTAAAGTATTAAAAGCATTTACTCAAATTGGTGTGAATGACCTTTTACTTTTACTAGGAAGTAAATGCTGGGAAAATAAGTAAATACTTGTTGGAGAATGCTGAGATAAACAGTATGTACTTGTGTTGTGAAGAGCAATCTGCATGGTTAGCCTGCTCAGCAGGTTCAGTTTATTAGTGTGTAACATGGAAGAAATGAACTCTGATGAGAGGTCTGAGAAGACTTTCTCAAATGAGATTTATCTCCATGAGCCTAAACGACCACAATTCATTGGAGTAAGTCCCTTGCGGTTGAGATACTCGCCATGAACCATCACTGCCTTCTGGAAGTTGGAGCCAGATATAAGATTTGACAATTATTTTTTGTGAAATATTTGGGACTGTCTTCGATACAGTGGAATTATGAACACTGATATTCATTACTATTTTAATTTGATAACCTGGGTCACTTACGAAACGGGAAAATTTCTAGTATTTGAACCGTTTGTCTGAGCACTATCTGTTGTCACTGACGTTGATTCACCTCGTAGTGTTCTGATAACAGCGTACATGATCTGTCAAATCAAATCATTTCCTGATAAATCAGTTGCACAAGTAATGAGTGTGGTAGTTTTTTCAATCTCATAATTCAGCCATAATTGTACAATTAATACACAAATTTTGTTATTCAAACACACTTGCCGGCATTGACCGCAAAAAACCCACATCAAAAAATGATCAACTTTTATAAAAGATTTAACTACGGTCAGCACTGTGCTTAAAAAATCATACTTGTCAATGCAGATGCTGTAATAGGTAGTTCCAAAAGCGCAAAGAAACACAAACTGCAATTGATGCTTTTAAGTAAGTGGACAACTGCAAATCTATTGTAGATAAATACAAACCAAAAACACAATATTTTATAAACTCTCCAGGGCATATTCGTTAGGAGGCTCCAAATTTCACAATTATTATTTGTATATTGAACAGTTTTTTTTACTTTTCTATAATGTTGTATTTGAATTTACTATTAAGGGGACCAAAACATTGAGAACATGTGTAAAAATGTATTTTAGCATAGGTTTATAGTAGCTGATAAGAGGGTGGGAAAAAAAGAGACAAGCTTGCCATAACTCGAGTCATTATGAAACTTAAGTACAGTAAAACTTAGTTCATACAGTTTACAGATACTGGAGAGGGGGGAATGTTTAAGTGAGAAAAAAACAAAACTAAAAATTAAAAAATTTAGGTGCAAAATAAAAACTCATTATTTTGACAATACTATTGTTAGAGAAAAAAAATGCATATAGTATTCTGTATATAACATTTTCAAGAACGAGAGTTGTCACTTTTGAAGACATTATCTTAGAACAGTTGAACCTATTGTATAAATTTTACCTTCATTATGTGACAACTGTCCCATAATTGCTCATGTTACTAGATTTCCTGGTGTTGCATACTAATAGGTCAAATGTTTTTTTGTGCAGTGTTGACAATCATAACACAGCTGTAGGGACACTAGTGAGCACTAGCAGCATTATTCTTGCACTCTGGTTTTGATGAGTCTCCACTATATTTATCAGGTTCCAAAAGAATATTGATGTCCTGCGTACCAACAACACTAAACAATCTGAACACTGAACCAAACATTCCTTGGACTTCGCTAGGACTGTTCTCACATACCAGACATTATGTCACAGTACAGTCGGGACTTCTCTAATGGAAAAATTAATAAACTTATAATGCATATCTGAAATAATTTCACCTGGGAAGAATAAGAATTTAGCTGGGACAACAAAGCGTAAATATGAAAAACCTATAAGTGCAAAACATAACTGGAGTATTACTGTAGTTTGAGAAAGTTTGTGCTATTATTTTGCATAACTAGTTTAAACCTGTGTAAGTCATTACATAAATAACTCTTTGGAAAGGGATGTGGTTAGTATGTTGTCATGTTTTTCGAATATATCAAAAGTACAAAGAAATTGGATTTTCATTGGAGATGGCACCCTACATATTCCCCTCCATGGGGTCACCAACACCAACTACACACACAATTTTATTCTAGTGACAACCGCTTTTTTAATGGCTTAAATGCAACGATGCAAATAATTTATTAATAAATTTAAATTGCTTAGGGATCTGAAAATGGCATTTTATTGTCAAGTACCATAGGAAATCAAACATCTTACAAGAATTATTTTTAGTAATTATTGTTTATAATTGTACCTTGGCAACTCATTTTGGGGATGCAGATAAAGCTTCGAGTGTGTGCCATGAAGCATAACTGGATTTAAATGGCCAGGGGCCAATAGAAGAAAAATATCCTTTACATATCACGGGGATACCAGGATAGAATGATTATACAAGAACGGACCCAAAATTCGATTTCTATAATTTTTCTCTCCCTCAAATGGTCTTAAGAACTTTTCTTAAGATCCAAAATTTCGTAGAAGGGATGAGGTGCCAAATTTATCTTAAATCTTGTGACCAACTTCTATGAATTTTAAGGAGAGGATGAACTAATATTATATTTCAACACTTAATAATATTACTGCAAATGATTGTACATTTGATGGTTGTTAAGGGTAAAAAGTATAAATATAAAAATTAAAAACCATTCTTACAAATAATATAAAAGAAAATTAGAGAAAAATGCATTGTAATACAATAAACAAGTATGAAAAATAGAAAACGTGTCAATCTCTACTTTGTACACTACTTCTGAATGTTTCTTTGGTACTCATAATTTATATATTAATAGTAAGAATACCACACTTTGCCTTCACTTTTGTAGGCCTCTCATTATCGTTAAGTGTCACTACCGTATACTTGTGCTCTTGAGAACTCTCGGAACACATAACTTGCATGCTCTTGGGACGAGTCTCTAGCACCTCTGCAGGTAAATTGTTCCGGTGAACAATGGTCCTAATTACAAAGTTGAATTTTTCTATATCTTTTCTTTGCCTCCTGTAATGCTTTTTGTGAGAGTTGTGGCTCCTACGTAAGTATCATGGCATTTCAAGTCTTCCATGGTTCACTTCCTAAGCTGGTTGCTTTGTGTGCTTTAAAAGGTCACAGTTGTGCTGCTTTTCTATGTATAAATGATTGCTAATTGACATTTGCCCTGCGAAATCAGCTTTTTTCCTGGACTGTATTTAACTGTTGAATCGGACCTTCGCTACGAGGATCCCAGCCTACTTCTCTGTATTCCATTATGGGAGGAAGCCAGTAAATCAGGATACATTAAACAGAACAAAATTGGAAAATATAGATATGCCAAATTAAGAATTAGGACAAAAATTTAAACTGTAATTAAGGAGAGTCCTGTGCTACAAAAGTTTCGGACAGTAAGTGTTCAGTGTACCAACTAATACAACTCCCTTTGTATTGGTGGTGTGTGTTTTTAATTTAATTATTTGATATAGCATATTGCGTCCATCTAATAGTCTTCACCGCAATGTCCTTGTACATTTTTTAGGCTTGACTCAATTCCCTTGATATTAACTGCCAAATGTACTTCCAAATTATCGGTGTCGATTATAAGGTGTACTGAGCAACAAGCAAACCTTCTCTTGATAATTTTCTTCTAGACCTCTTTGCGCAACAAATCTGCAGATATGTATTTTGAATTCTCAATGTATGTGTTGGCGAGTTCATTTTGAAGCTGCTCACTGTCAAAGAATGGATATTGTTTTATTAGGAAAGAAAACATTTAACAAAAGAATACATTGCTAGTGGAAAACTGCTTTTCGTTAAGAACTTCAATAAAATTCAGTTTTCAAGGTCTTGAAACCATCTGAGTCCATATTGCATCTATAATTTTAAAAATCAAATCAATATTGTCTCTTCCGAATAATTCTGATCGTGAAAGTTTATTCACAATCATGCCTGCTTTAATGCATATTTCAATAGTCTCTTCATATCTAACACTGCATATTACTATGCATTTCTATGGCATATTACTTGCCTCATGATTCTACATGTTGAGCAAAAACTGCATTTCGATGTCATGAACCGGAAAATTATGGGATGAACAGTGGAAATATCTCTATAACACCAGGTCTTAAGCTTCATTAATTGTTTCAAAAAGAAAACTAACAAAAATCGCACACACAACTCTCTCTACATTCTCACAAGATGAGATGAAATTGCCTGGCCGGGACGTAACTTGTATTTTGGTACAAGTTGGCATGTGCTGGGTGGCAGCTGAAAGTACGCTCCTTGCCCAATGAGTGCGAGTAAGGGGATGGCGCATGCCCTCTTGTCTGTGATGAAGCCAGCCGATGTCAGGCTCCCTGCTGAGCTACCGGCATACTAATTCCCTTGCATGTAAGTGGAGGGAAAAGGAGTCGAAAACATTTAATTTTCATTAATGATTCAGTTAAAAAATTATTTATTTACACTCGCATACACATGCATATTCACACATACGTGTACGTATAGAGTTTATTTTACTGCTGACACAGTTTCTTGTATCTCATTTTCCAGAACTTGCGGTCTACCCAATCCTTGTTTTGCAGACCTCTGACACTCAGAGCTTTATTAACTGCAACTTGCCATGATCATGTTGATCTTTCCCATTTTCTGTGTTCAGGAGGGCATCCATTTCCAAATTATTTTTGGATCATTTGGTATCTTCCATCATTTAAAGTAGTCCATACCACGTTAATGGTTTCGTTTCAATTGTCTATGGTATTATTTTCATCCTCCATTGTTTTACAGGCGATATAGTAACATGATCCATCCTGGAAATGCCACAACTCGTTATCCAAAGGGACAGAAAGACTTGTTTTGTTGGTCCCTGAAACAGAAAAAAAGAATAATTCTTGCTCATGTGTGGTAAATATCGTACTCTAACAAATAAGATTCACTTTTTTAGAATCCTTGATACTGAAAAATTCGCTTGAGCCACAATTGCTGTCCATTTGAAGAGCTTGCAGCTAAACCAAAGACAAGGTTTTCATCAAAACTATTTCCCAACTGATATGGTTAAATCCACTTCCCGTCAAATTTGTTTAGGATATTTTCAAATGGGGAGGGGGGTCCTTCTCCATCTTCAATTAGTGTGAAAGTCAGGATGTAAAAAATAAAAATTCAAGAGGGAAAATGGCCAGCAAGCATTTGAATCCAGTACTATGGAACTCAATTTTTTCAATAAAGACAAACGCTTGACTATTTCATTAAGTACAATAGTCTTCGAACTTCTACCCTGAAACTTCAAAAAAGGACAAGCTTCATGCAACAGAAACATGTTCTGGGGAAAATATTACTTTTGTCAGGCAAAATGAGAAATGATGACATAAGAAAATACAATGAAAGTGCGAAGAGCTGTGAACGGGATAGAAATTATGTAGAAATGGCGTGGACATAAGAAGTAGCAAAGATCAGATGGACTTCCACAAAAAGTTTGAAAATGGATAGCCAATTGAAGATTATGCTGGGAAGACAGAGAACGAGGTAATAATTGAAGCCATGTGAAAAAAAGAAATGGAGGAAAAAGATGAGGGTTAATGAGACATCGTAATTAGAACGTAGAAAAAGGGCAAGGCTGTAAAACGATAGTAAAATGGGATAGAGGGGGCACTTAACATTAGGCCCCAATGTCATCTTCAAAATTTTCTTTAAAATTGCTCCTGGTACTAATTTTTAATGATCGCAAAAGTTTGAAAATTTTTTAAGGGCTTTCTACGATTACATTATTTAGCTTTTTCTTAATGAAATCAGATCTTCAAAGAGAGGTCTTTAAATAAGGGTATGAATAATTTTTTTAAAATGAGTTTTTGCAGAGTTTTGTGTCAAATCTAGGCAATTTTTAAACAATTCTCAAAAAATCTCTCAATTTTTTTTTTCAAGTAGAGCAAAGTATGTATTGTTGATACACTTCAGATCAGAGTATAAAAGAAGTTTAAAGCAACTAAATAAAAATTAAAGTCAGGATTGATTTACTCGATCCTATCAGCATACTAATTAGTGCTTCTAATGAAACTGTTTTGGGTTGTAGAATTTGTTTGATGTATTGGCTTAAGAATTAGTTTCCACACTTTACCACAATCGGTAATCTTTATAATTGGTTTCCTTCTGAAAGCAATTTGAGCTTTCTACTAAAACACCCCTTACTAAATTAAGCACCCAAATTTGCTCAAGAAAGTGCAAAAGAGAGCCACAAGTTTTCCAGCGATGAAGTCAATGCTGCACTGCTGCTGGTAATTGATATAGAAAATGAATCAACATGATAAAGATGTAAGAGATATTATTCTTGTATTATAACACTGATCTTCATGGCATCTTTTAGCAATCACATCATTTTCACCCTCAGAAAGCAAGAGATAGAGCTGTCACACGATTTTGGAGGTCAGACAAAAAATATCCTGTTTGTACTGTTGGGCCGAAAATCTCTAGGAAAACTGTCTCCCATTTAAAAGGTTAATGGTAGTTGATTAAAGGTGCTTTGGTACTAAGACATTTGTCTGCTAAATTGCTGGAATTTTTGTATCTTTTCAGGGCAAGGGCTTGCATATGTAAATCATTTAGACCTTTCTATTTCAAGTCTTGGAATATCTTGATCTGCAGAGAATAATTAGTGAATTTCTAACTAATGGAATCAATAATTCACAACATTAAAGTTACTAGTAATTAAAAATATTAATATGCTCATTATAGAACTAAAATAATTATGAACTCTCAGTGTTAATTATAGTCGCATGTTGTACTGTGTACAACAGACTCCGTGTGTTAAAAACACTACATTTTTTGGCTACAGGGAAGTAGCGTGTAATATAGACTGTATCCTCTTAAATGAATGATCAAAAGTAAAATATGTAGTCTGCTGTACTCTAAAATTGTTACCATGGTAAGGTTAAATAGACATGGAAGACTGCAAAATATGTTTCTATTGAATGGAGTACAAAATAGAAGTCTTCTGAAGCTACCATCTCCAAAACTATCTCTGCCCCCTGCCTCCAAAACCTCGTTGCTTATTCGGGCTGATTTTCACAGACTGTTTTCAAAAATGATTCAAAAATTTGGAAAACGGGATAGGAAGTCATATCATTAATATTTTTACATCGAACGATGTAATGTAGACTTGTCAAGTTTATGAAGAAAGATGTCAAGCACAAATGAGTTGATTTTTCTGCTTTTAATTTCTTTAAAATTGAAGTAAGGTTTTTTTTCAGCTTCTAAACCAGCTTTCAGTACTACCAGTACTTACACAGCAACTACACGTCAAGTAACCCAAACAACTCCCAAGGCAGCATCTTACAGCACTGCCTACACAACGCAGGGTGCACAGGGTGCCAACTATACATCAGGGTACACAGCTGCTGCTGCTGCTCAGACAACTAACACTACTAAAGGTGAGAAATAGTTATCTGGAATAATAATTTAAGAAACGTATTTAGATCTGTTATTCAATATTTTGTATTGTTGTAGCTGCTGGCAATACCACATATTCTGGATATGATGCAGCATTGTACAGTGCTGCGACTATGTATGTGGCACAGCAAGCGCAGACAGGCACTGCTGCTGCAGCAGCTGCTGCCGCGGCAGGTGGAGCTGGAGCTACTGCTGCCGTGGCAACCAATACTGCTGTCACAAAGCCTACTGGAACATGGCAGGCATATAAGAAAGGGCCAATGGCCGGTGGAATGAAAACTATGAAGCCTAAACAACCGCCTAAACCGCAACAGTTACATTACTGTGATGTTTGTAAAATAAGCTGTGCTGGACCCCAGGTTTGTCTTTGTTGTTTGTGAAATGTGAATGTTTATGTGAAAGTATATGATTGGGAAAACAGTGATGTTTCACATAACCAAATAAAGATCTAATTTCTCCAAAAAACAAACAATCTAAACATTGCTAACGTGTTAACAAAACTACAGCATGCATTCAGAAACACATTAGAAGTGTGTGCAGCTTGCTAAAGCTCAAAAAATACTAGTACAGCAGCTACTGTTGTTCCAGCTAAAGTTGAATATATGGCTATCTAGCTGAACTTGCAAAAGGGTGGCATGTAAAGAATTACCGAAATATTTCAAAATTCCATTTTCGAAAAATTATTCAGGATTAAATTGAAGTATTCTGAGCTTGTGGCAGCTAAGTTACTTTGTATCAAATAATTATGCGGTCCAGTTGTGTTGCCTCACTCATTCAGTTGTTTCCTACAACGATTGGGCTCATGATTCTTGTTTAACTACCTCGAGTCGATGCAATACTAATTTGTAGTGTTCTTTTATACCTAACATGGTTAAAATATATTGTTAAATGCCTAAAAAATGGGGAGTACTGGGTTAATTTGCATGTTTGCTATACTCTATGGGTAAAGTTTCATAAATGGCGATGAATGGATCACTTCAGACTTAATCTTGCTAATGTTGTTTATCAGGGTGTAAGTTAGTAATACCTTTATCAGAGTGTGAGATTTTGTGTTTGCAAGAAGCATTATGGCATACAAGGGCTTTGGAAATTATTTAAAGCGCAGAGTAAAGGTTGTTTTAATGTATGTAAATTTCAAAGACTGAGTAGTGAAGACTCAACTGATGTACACAGTGACTTGTATCATGTACACAGAAATTTATGACTCGCACAGTGGAACTCAAAAATATATATCTTGTCTCATACTAGTTAAAAACTTCCTAACTGCAATAAATTCCCTGTTTTACAGTTCTGCTGTTCTCATTACCAGATTGTACTTCGTCTAGCATAGCCTTATCTTGTAGCCATCTAGCGTAGCCGTCATCTTGTGTCTTTTAGCGTTAACTTCATCTGATTAAAGACAGAATTATACTTTAACGCTCATACTCATTTTTGAATAATGTGAACATTAACCAACTAAATTCAGGAATTAGCCAGATTTGAATTTTCATCCTATTATAAACTGAGACGCGCTTAGATTCACAAATTATGTTTTCTGGGCTGACAAAGAAATGTGGATTAGCACTGTTGTCCTGACCCCTTCATTTCTACTTTTGTATAGGGTGACAGAAAATAAAATTTATTTATTGTTTCAGACCTACAGAGAGCATTTAGAAGGCCAAAAGCATAAGAAGAAGGAATCTGCTCTGAAAGCAGGTGCTGTTCCAGTGGCCCGAGGCAGCAATGCATTACGTTGTGAACTGTGTGATGTAACATGCACTGGTTCTGATGCGTATGCAGCTCACATTCGAGGTGCTAAACATCAGAAGGCAAGTTCATTGCGTTTGCATTTGTCTTTATACTTTTATCATGGTCAGAAATAAACTTGTCCAAAGGTTTCTATAATACAGGATTTCAAAGTAAATAATATAAGATGGAGTTTGTAGTAATACAAAGAATTAAGAATTTAATATTACAAAAACTTACTTCATTGGAATATTAGTGTTCAAAATCATTGTCTAAGAACATTTGTATTTAATACTCTTTCAATTGCAGGTTTTGAAGTTGCACACAAAATTGGGTAAACCAATTCCATCCACAGATCCCGTTGTGGTTGGTGGATCTGCCAAAACCACTAGCTCAACTGCTAGCACTACCACCAGCAGTGTTGCCACTCAGGCTAAGACAACGGCATCAGCTGCAACTAAGGCTGCTCCAGGTGCTGTCAAGAAGCCAGTTTCTGCTGCTCCAAAAATTAATTTTGTGGCAGGTTGGCATAATGTTCCCAGTAGCTGTTTTGACATGTACCATTGCCTTTGTGTAAAGTTACTATGTCACTCTTGCCATTTTTGATTAAAGGATAGTTATTTCATTGAAATTGATTAATCTGCATATTTTTATTTCTTTGTTATGTAATAGGTTCATCTTTGGGTACAACTACCAATACAAATTCGTCTGCTAATGTGGAAGTTAAACAGGAGTCTAAGGAAGATACATCAGTGTCTGACTCTGAGATAACAGTTAATGACAAAGATGTGCAGCCCGTAGGTCAGGACTACATTGAAGAAATTAAGAATGATGAAGGTACATAGTTTTTTGATTTCTTTGCTGTTTTCCTTCTTTCCTGTTCGAAAATTTGTTAGTTCATCTCTAGAGCAAAGCAAGCATGTTCTGTTGGCTAGTTCAATATTGTTGTTTTGTTATATTGTACTAAAATTAAAACAATTCAAAATTTTCTATTTCTCTAATCAGAAAATCCTATAAATTTGAAATTGCCCCAATTATTAACACTAATCATCCAAATTCTTTTTCCATAAAATTATACTGTTCATGAAAATTGCATTTGCATGCAGAAAAATCAGAACACTATTTTATGGTAGGTTTATGGGAACACTATCACTGCAGTGTGTTGAAGACGTAGGCTTCCGCGTTGGAGTCTTGTAAATGATCTTGGCTGTCCAGGTGACACTGTGTCGAAAGCTGTGTTGCTAACGTTACAATCATCTTATTGTGGTCTGCTCTGCCTTCGACGCTTTTTCACCTGGACAGCCAAGATCATTTACCCTGCAGTGTGTTATTTGCAAATGTAAAGCAGGAACAAATTCAAAGCATGTTTTTGAACATTTGCTTCTTCAGCTGTGCAGAAATTTTATTTCTGTGCAACAGAAAAATGGTGTCTACTTGGATTGCTTTTAAATAGGTTATTTTCCTTCATGAATTGAATTGTTGGAAAAAAATAGGAAAGACTATTCACAAGATTAAATAAGGGAAGCATCAAACAGTGTGAACTTCCTAAAAATTTTGTGGTTCAGGGCAGTTTTTTACTTTCTCATTAATGTGTGTATACAGTGAAATTTCAATTTTATGATTACCAATTTTACGTTTTCCCAGAATTTAAGACTTAAATTAGTAGTCCCAATAATATGACCTTATAAACAATGTATAATTTTCCTTGATTTAACTTTTTTCTTAATTTTGAATCTGACTTGTGAAGTCCTACTGAGTAGTAGCACCACCACCACCCCTATTCAAATTTTTGCACAAGAGGACTCTTTAACCTTTCAAGGGCGAGATTTTTGGGGGGGGGGTCAAAAAAGTTAAAAATTTGTTACATTTTTGAATTTAAATACTTTTAAAAAAGTTCAGTCTCCAAAAAATATTTAATTTAAAAAAAAAATAAAAAATTGATACAGCGAGGAGTGGGAGGGTGTGACGTATACGTCACTTTCGGCCTTTGGGGGTGATAACCGTGCTGGGTTGAAAGAGAAATTATTTTACGAGAAGAGCATTTGTTTTCAAAGCATACAGTTAAATGACTAGTTCAAGACTCATCAGACTAAAGTCTGATTTCAAACGGCAAAAAATTATTGTTCAATTTTTTGTATGAAATGGTATATTGCATTTCAAGCATAAACGTACATCACATTTTGTGCACATTGAAGCAACGACACTTTTGCATCCATCGTTAGCACATCTTCCTCTCTCTCTCTCTTTTTTCTTCTTCTCCTCCTCCTTCTTCTTCTTCTTCTTCTTCTTCCCCAAGTTGATGGTCAGCTGGTCATATCGAATGTCCTCTAAAACTCGCATTGACTGTTCAACGACAGAGCTGTTCGACCCACAGATTTGACAGATGTTTGGATCTTGTGAGGAATGTGATAGCACTCTCTCTTCTGAATTCCAGCTTAGTACTGGTTTTTCCTGACTTCTTGAAAATCAGCCCAGAACCATTTCTTCCCTCTGATTAAAATACGGTACTGATTTAGGTCTTAATCCATTCGATTTGTATCACCCATATTTCCGTTGTGTGTGATTATAATAGTTAGTTGAGGGACATTAGTTGTTCTTTTATTCTTTCGAAGAAAATCTCTTAACATGCTTGATTTGAGATTCTCCACGCAACTTTGATGCAACAGCAGCCACATTATTGTCCATCCATTTCCCAACTAGAATTCAGTCATTTTTTTCTATTGTGCTTTGGAATATTCCACATTCCATCTTCATTTGTTCATGCGATGGTAACAGGCAATCTTCAGGAATCCTGTTTTTCGTCCATTTCCTTCTCGCACAACCTTGTAAACAATATTGTAGCGCTTTTTGACTTGATCAAGCCAACCGTTAAACACTGAGACGTTCTCACTGGAAAGCACTTGCATGGGGGAACACACCACTCATGGGGATGTTCGAGGCACGAAGCATGGGAACCAGTTCTACAGAATTTCCTCTTAAAACTACATATTTTGAATAGCTGGCATACTTCCTAGTCTTGAAAAAATGTCTACTTTTGGTTACACTTTTAATTATAGTCTTTGTTTCTTACTATCGTATTAAGAGTGGATATTGATATCCCTTACTATTTAGCTAATCCTGCACATATTCCTTTATGGATTTTAACTTTCTCTTAAATTTTGGAATTGAAAATTTGTGAATAGAAAGACTTATTCGCCTTTCTTTTAAATCTCTTCCACTTCATTCAAATGGAAACTTCAAGTAGCACAAAACTACAATACTCAACCTGAGTAATAGTGAGAAGCACACTTTACTACAACTGAATGATCAAATGAATTTTAAACTTAACCAGAATTCATAGCCAACAAGATAAATCTCATAAGAGAAAGCAAAAATATCTGAATAAATAGTATTGACATAGCTGTGATGGCTTCAAAAAGTTCCAATGGTGGAAAGAATTTAACATTATGAACATGTGAAAATTGAAAGGACCTTACAAAATCAGTGTAAACTGCTGGAAAATGTAAATTCAGGGAATAGCATAGTTGGGAAATAAAAGCATAGTTGTATTGTAGGTTATATTTCAGTTCTACAATTGAGACCAAAAATGCGATGTGGAAAAAATGTCCTTAGTTTCCTTATTTCTTCAATCTAGGCGAACTAGTATAAAAAAGTCTGCTATTCTGTAGCACCACTAGTTGATATAATGTTCTGAAAGTTTTAAGCTCTATTAGCCTTTCTTGGAATCTAGATTTTTCATCTTAGTTTCAATGAACATACAGGGAAATGTTGAGTCTCTTGTCTCATGATCTTTTTTCATGCTGGTGAAAAACAAAGATAAAATTCTAATTGTGAGCTTTAAGAGCAATTTACTTCTGTCATTATATTTTTACAACCTCCTTTAATTTTAAGATATTGTAGTCAACTGGTTCTTATTATTTTGAGTCATTTTATATAGTATCAGAACAATTTTTTCTTTCTTCACAGGAAAAGTAATTAGCTTCAATTGCAAACTCTGTGAATGTAGATTCAATGATCCCAATGCCAAGGAAATGCACATGAAGGGACGTAGACATAGATTACAGTATAAAAAGAAAGTAAACCCTGAATTAGTAGTGGATGTAAAACCATCCCTGCGACAGCGTAAACTGCAGGAAGAAAAGCTACGAAGACAACAAATGCGTGATGAATACTGGCGCAGAAGAGATGAAGAAAGGTGAGTAATGATAGTGTATAACTTTGCTTTTTGATGCTTCACTCATGTTATAAGATAATGTAATTATTAAAATTTTGTTTATAGAATGATGGAAGAAGAAGAGCGTATGTACTGGGAAGAACGTAGGAGATTTGAAGAAGAAGTAGAATATTTTGAATGGTATCGGCGTTATGGTAGAGACCCCAGAGCTTTACCACCACCACCTCGCCCGTTTGGTCCTGGTGTGCCACCACTCATGGTAATTATGGAAGGGAATTGATGTTTGTTTGATTTTATAGTTCGGATTGCCTAGTAATGTTAAGCTGGAGCTTCAACCTTGCCTCGGTATCAATCAGGGACAGAAATTTGTGATGCCATCATAAAAAGCAAATGTGAAGCCTTTTTTCAGTAATGTTATTCCAGGACTTGCATGGATAGTTTAAAAAATTTTAAATTCTTTCTTGACTCTCAATAAATGTTGTTTTAACTAAAGGATGTTAAAATGAAAATAATCTCCTGTAATTTTCTGGGATCAGAAATTTAGTTATCTAAATATATTGGATTTTTATGCTTATATAGAACATTGTTTTAAGAAAATTGAAGGGATATAGCTTTTGTCAGAATATTATGTAACTTATTTTATTACAAATCTATTTATTATAGCTACCATATCTGTGTGTGTAATAAATGAAAACTGATTACTAAATATAACATTAGAAACCTAGAAGGATAATTTTGTGATCTTCACAGTTCTTCCCCCAGCCTATCAGACGCCCAGATTCTAGTGATGACCGCCATGTTATTGCACGTCATGCTGAAATATATCCAAAGGAAGAGGAATTACAAGCAGTTCAAAGGATAGTCTCTCACACTGAAAAGGCATTAAAATTTGTTTCGGACTTCCTGGCGGACCAAGCATCAGCAGCACCAACTGCCAAGCCAGCTCCATCCAAGGGACCAACTACTCCCACAACACCCACTACTACATCTGCAGCCAAACCAAGTGCAGTGGCTGGCAAGCCTACCCCTGCTGCTGCCGCTGCTGCAAAACCAACCACTACACCCACATCTACTCCAGGTGTTACTATTAAGCAAGAGCCTACCACACCTGAGAAACCTAAAGCTGACACGTCCAAAGAGGAACCTAAAAAGGAAGATGGCAGAGATGGCAATCTGTAAGTTGTGATCATCCCCCTCCTTTTCTGTTTTCTGTGCATTGAAAGATCTAATACATTTGTTGTGATGACTAATGACTTAAACCTAGCTCTCTGAATTGGCTGAAAGAAAGCCCTTAACTGAAGTTGCAGTAAACATTTTCTGATTGAGATTTGTTATTGTAAGGTGTTTAGCACAATGTTCTTGCAGGTTCTCCTTTCACCGTGAAAAAGATGATAGCCAAGTACCTCGTGTTCTAAAAGGAGTAATGAGGGTTGGGGTTTTGGCCAAAGGTCTCCTTCTCCATGGTGATACAGCTGTAAATTTAGTTGTTCTGTGTGCTGAGAAACCAACGAGAACACTACTGAATAAAGTTGCTGAGAACTTGCCAAAACAGTTAAAGGTTTGTTTGAGAAAATATTTTATTAAAAGGGAATTCTTTAGCTATAGGACTGAATTTTTACTATGCACATGGATGCTTATCTCTGTTAATGTAAAAATAATTACAATAATTGTGTGGTTTGGTATACATTATATGCCATGCCAACACTTTTGTCTTCACACTGAGGTATTGGCAAATTCAAGTTGGAAATACTAAAACGAATTTCAAAATACTGGTATTAACACTTCTTACAATTTCCTTTGCTTCAAGATGGTTTCTCCTGAGGACACATACAAAGTTCATCGTAAAGTGGAGGAAGCAGCCATCATTGTGATGGGAGTAAAGGAACCTCATATTACAGTGACAATCACCTTGACATCACCTGTGATGCGTGAGCAATTGCTAACGCATCCTGAAGGAAGTGGGGGTAAGAAAGGAACTCGACTGATCAGGTATCCTTAGAACTAACATACCAGGGGCCGTTCTTGTAGATTCAGTTAGTATCATAATTCAGAGTAAGTTTTATATACAAAATTTAATTGATAAATCATATTTTTAATGATTCTTTGAAATGAAGACCATATTCAGTGGTGGACGCTTGTGCAATGAAAGTGGCCCCTGGATAGATAGCAGTGAAATTCTATTGAAGTGCTAGCCTGATTGCATGCTTATTCAGTAAAAATAAAACAGGCTAGCATATTCCAGGCCAAGAAAAGGATAAAATAACTACTGTTAAAGACAGATATGATAGGACCCATTATTGTGAGTTCAATTGCAACTTTATCTCTAAGTTCAGGTTTTCATTTGTTTATAGTAATCTTTGTTCTTTTCATGAGCCTGTGTGTTACTGCTAAGGTTTCTAGGTGTCCTGTCGACATTACAGCCATGGAGAAGGGGAATGTGAAAGCTGGGGCAAACGGGAAGGATTTTTGACCATGCGAAAAAAAAACATTTTCATAGGTACTAGGTTAGGTCACACATTGCTGCGTTCCAGGAAGTATTTAAATTGTGTTATTTGAAGAATTGTTCTGTTCAATATGTTATAATTTTACTTTTAATGTATTATAGGTGCTACATACAATTACATGTTAGGTGCAACACTTGAATGGCCTGTGAAACTTAGTGGGAGGTAGAAGAATATGTCAAAAAACTAATGTTTAATATATGTTAATTTTTAATTCACAGCTTAATATTGTAGGTTAAGTGTTGTGACCTGCACCTATACCTTGAAATTGTTTTTATTTATTGCTACCATGGTAGTGTGTTTATTCCGCCATGGTCAAACACCCTTTGTAATTTTGTCTTACCGGCTTTTTTTCCATCTTTCTTCCCCCGACCCTAGACTCAGTGTCTGTGAGTCAGGCGCAGGTGATGAAGGATCCACCAGACGTGCTCGACAAGCAGAAATGTTTGGATGCCCTGGCAGCTTTGAGGCATGCCAAGTGGTTCCAGGTTTGAAGGAATTCCTCCTTACTGTTTAAAAATGGAAAGACAGAAAAGAAATCAATACTTTTCAGCCTTGTGTCTGTCAGATTTTGTAAGGTATCTCAAAGGATGATGGGAGTACAGTATAAAATTGCAGTAATATTTTCTAAATGTTTGCATTAAATATTTCATAATAATTATTAATTTCATCAGTAATTTTACTGGAATGTAAATACTGTACATTCATTATCTTTTAAATTAAGTTCAAATAGCAATAAGATTACGTTATTTTTGCATTTTCTAAGTATGGAGAATTAGGTAGGCAATTGGGAAAGTTAAGAACTTAATCAGAACCATTTAATATCTAAATAATTAATATGGGGCATGTATACATGAGGCTGGAAAGTTCTTGCTACAACCTCTTTTCGGCTTCTCTTTGTTCCCAGGGCATTGCCTCTGTATGGGTTCGGGGACATTTAGTATAGTAGACCACAGTTCGTCCTTGTTAAATAATGTTGTGCATGTTAGACGTTTTTCAAGGGTTTTTCTAACATTCTAAATTTAAGACCAGTAATTATATTTAGTTTGCAAAGAGGTCATAGCGTGGGGGTGTAAATTGACAATCCAGTTTAGCATGCACATAGTTGGAAATAATATTGATCAGGACGAACTTAGGACATAGGTTAAGTAATTTTTTATGTTACAAATATTCTTCATGAAGTTTTATGTATTCTCAGGCTAGAGCTACTGGACTGCAGAGTTGTGTGATGGTCATCAGAATTCTCCGGGATTTGTGTCAGCGAGTACCTACATGGGCACCATTGCACAGTTGGGTGAGTTACTCATGCATTATTCTTCCTATTCAGGTTTTTTGTCTCGAATTTTTTGCAGAAAGTTGTCCCAATCAATTTTTAATGCAAGTGTTCATTTATTGATTTATTTAAAATTTAACAGACAATTTGTCAAACGGAGTACATAAAGAAAAGGTAACTCAAATTACTTCTCAATTGTATCATCCATCAATTACATTAAAGTTCACATAAAGTTCAGTTTATATTCATGTATTTTTATTTATTTCTTAGTAGAACTAGTCATACTCTTCTTTTAAAAGAAAAGATTGGCCATTTCAGTGGATGATAGTATAGTATGTAGTCATTTGTGAATAACTATTTACTGCCTTTATCAGAGTGTAATAATATATACCTGAGGATTTTAAACTGAACACAAATTAATTTCTTATTTCTTAAGTATAATTGTAATAGCAGAATAGGGCAATCAGAGTTGCCTTTGCGTTATTACCTCACAAAAAGTCAGGGAACATTCCTGGACATTACTCTCAGGTGATATACAACCAATCTGATTATCTTACTGATTGATAAGGGTCCCATACTACAAGGGGAGTTTGTCTAATCAGGAGAGGGGGAATGTGTAGTTTGGTTGATGATCCACTGCCTATGTATAAATTAAAATCATCCGGAGGAAAGAAAGCACTTCGATATTAATAATGTAAGAGTTTGCTAAGTTAAGGCATTCTACATTTGCTGTATGCTTTACTGAAAGACCCTTGTTAAAACCTCCCACTTAGCTCTTACAACATATTAGAGACTCTATTATCAATAAATAATAGAGATTATGAGTTTTTCAACTTTTAAGACAATTTCTAGCATTCTTTGGAAACTTTCTTATCAAGTTTAAGAACGAGTGAATTCTGAAACATTGATAACAAAATGTAAAAATCTCCAATTCTGTCACATATGTTGTCAAGCATCAACATGTTGGACACTGGTATGCTATCTTGGCTTCTCCTTCCATTTCAGTTTCATTTCTAATGTGCCTGTCAATACCAATGTGACCTAATATTTAATTCATGGAATTTAGTTTTCCTTACCGTTTGCGAAGAATGTCTGTTAACTTCTAATGTTCATAAAAATGGAGTTAGAGGCTTCTAATATATAGAATGTGTCAGGACTAAATGACATATTAATTGTACTCCAGAAAATTGAGATTTGTTACTGGTATAAAACTATTGGGAATACTAAAGCTGAAAATCATTAGATAATTTTTATTCACGAGAGGATGAAAATACAAGAGGTTTAAAAAATTCGTTTAAAAATATTTATCTAAAAAGCATTGATGTCAAAATTGGCAAAATAAAACTTTCTGAAAATGCTTGATTTTTCATAATTTGTGCACACATCCTAAAATCTTTTAAATACACATTCATAAGAATCAAATGCTTTCCTAAATGTGTGATGCTTCTGATTTGGTATATAGGTCATCTTTATTTTGTTTTTACTTTCCAAAAGCAAAATTGTACCATGGTTTCGTATTTTGTATAGACTTATTGATTTTTTTAGTATTCTAATCAAATTTATAATTGCAGGCAATGGAGTTACTTGTGGAGAAAGTAATCAGTTCTGCTGGTCAGCCGTTGAGTCCAGGGGATGCTTTGCGCCGGATAATGGAAGCCCTTGCATCAGGAATTCTCCTTCCGGGTGGACCAGGCCTCCTAGATCCATGTGAGAAAGATCCATGTGATGCAGCTGGAAACATGCTACCCCAACAGAGGGAAGACATTACTGCTTCAGCACAGGTAAGTTTTTTAGTCTTAGAAGTGATTTTTTTCTAATCTTGAAATGGGTTTTTGATGTTTGTATATAATATTTCTTGCTTTTCCAGCATGCTCTACGCCTGATTGCCTTCAGGCAGATTCATAAAGTTTTGGGAATGGATCCTTTACCACCGCCGAAATTTAGTCGTGGTAGATTTAATAGGAAACGAAGGAGAGATAATAGCAGTGGTGAAGGAAATGATTCAGAAGGTAAGGTTCTATTCTTGTCTTTTGTAACAAATGCAATGAAATCTCATTTGCATGTTCTCCATGACTTTTTCCAGTATAGCAGAGCATGAATTTGTTTTCCAGCTTCTTGTTCTGCATTTTACAAGCTTGCTTAACGTGTCAAAAGTTTCTCTGCATTGGATTCTGGTATTCGCTTGATTTCTAGTCAGGTTATGAATTTGTTGCTTTCAGGATACCAGAAAGTCAGTGTATTTGAAATCTTATTTGATTACTGGTCCAGGGGCAGAGAGCCTCTGCTTTCTCCGTTCTTTGTGTAATGACAGTTACTTTGAATTAAAGAAAAAGAGAAGCACAGTTTCTTTGCTGTTGATGCAACTTTTTATACTTTATACAGTGTGTGATTTGGTGATAGTATATTATTTGAAATAAATTGTATAATTATTTACATATAAATCTCTTTTGAATTTTTAGCATTCTATGGAAGGAAATGTAAATGAACAAAATATAACATTTTTTGATAATGCTTTCCCACTCCTAAGATGAAAATTTTTGTTCTCTAGAAAAATATTCCTACACCTCCTTTGAGACTAATTCCATTTATAATAACGTCTTTTCCTGCTTGATTTGAAATGCATAATAGTTGTGGTATAGTTGTGATAAAACTACATGCAGAGGCTCTTCAGTGGGTTCATACTCTGCAGAAACAAGTTATTTTATAAATGTGTAATCTAACTATCGAGTTAGATTAATAAGTTTTCAATTGATGACAAGTTGGAAAATATTTTTAGTTTGTGTATGTTTAAAATTGTTTTTTGTTTGTTTTTTTTCTAGCTGGGGATGGAAAGAAGGATAAGAAGGAAGATGGTGCTGAAGACACTAAAATGGAAATTGTAAAAACTGAAGCAAAATGAATGCTTTGAATGTGATGAGGTATTACTTTGTAAAATTATTTAATTTTTTCAACCGATATTGTGTGGTGTGAAAGGTATACTTATGTTTATGTATGCTGCTGTAGCAGTTGTAGCACGATTTGTTAAGCTAAGGTTATAGATCTCTGTTTTAAACTTAAGCTATGCCAAATTGTAAGACAGTAAAAGTAGAAAAAAAAATTAAATGGTTTAATTTCACACATGTATGGGAAATAGCAAATTTTTAGAATTAATTTTCTTAGTGGCTTTTTGTCAAAATGTGTAAGAATGCTGTTTTTAAGTCAGCACTCATTGGAATGTTTGTTATGTCACGAGACTGCACTATAAGCAGTGATTTGAATTGACCATTTACTGTATGCAGAACACGTAGAAAGTATGCTAAATCATTGTAATGAAATGTACTTTTTTGTTCATAACCTGACTATTCAGTGGATTTATCATTCCTTTTCTCAGCATTGTACTTGTATTCTGAATTAAATAGGAACTCTTGTATCTTATCTTTTTGTGTGCCCTAGTCAGTTAGTGCATTTATAGAAATCTAGAACCATGTTCTTGAATATGCTTAGCATACAATACTAAATGTTTCTTGCCTTTTTACTTCAAGAACTATTTTGACCTTCTTCCGCTAATTCTATAATGGTTTGGGGTTGCAGTTTTGCTTCAAATAAGTCATACTAGTTAAAAGGAAATCTGATGTCCTTCGTTTTATGAAGATTCGTCAGAAGCAGATTGGGTACGTGTTGTTTTTAATTAGCCTCTCCAGTTGATGGTGGGAACTATTAATGTCTCTAGCCATTACAAATGAAATAAGGTGCAAGTTATTCACCAGAGTTCATGAAATTATTTTAGATGCATCAGATTTAAAGTTCTAATTGAGAGGTAATTGAAATATGTGCCCGTAAAGTTTGTTTTGCATAGATGCTACATAACCTGCAAAATTCACACAAGGTTTAGTTTTGGTTACGTTATGTGGCGATTTACAATCGACCTCACTGCTAGTAGACATTTTCCTTATTTGATATTCAGTGCTTCAGGGGTTCAAATGTTGCTTTGACAGCAAAATTTATTTCATGTTGATTGTATTAATGATTCATCTGACAAGTCTTGGAGTGCTCGAACTTTTTATTTTTAATTTAATTAGAACATACCACTGTAGCAATTTGTGGACTGGGTTTTTGTGAATTTAAGCACTTTAATATTAGGAGGAAAACAAAATAATCTATTTGAAGGCAAACTCTGGTAGATTTTCTCACAGTAAAAATTCGTATTAAAATGTTTATTTCATATTTAAAAACAAAAAAATCATGTGTGAGTTATGCAAGTGGACATTTTGTTAGTATAAATTATATACCATGTGTAAATCATACAATCTTAACTTTCATTTCAGTCACAATAAGTAGATGCAATTATTTAATCTTGTTATTCACTGTGTAAATAAATAAAAGTGGGAACAATGTTCACCCCTTATCCTTTAAATAACTAGCTTGATTCCTCATTGATTATGTACTTGATTCCTTCATGTTTTTAAATTGTTCAGTTGTAACTTCATTTATTAATGTGCACTGAACAAGCAGTATCACCTACTCGAATTACATATGGCTTCATGGAATTTGCAATTTAAGGAAGGAAGAAGCAATGGTATTTTATAAGGATCCCTGCACTCGAATGTTGACGCACATTAAATAATAATGCGTCCTAGAATAACCTTTAACATGCGAAACAGCTCGTGAGTGGTTTGGCTGTTCTGCACAAGATAGTATTAATCTAAAATGTTAGGTGTCATTTAATTTTTGAGAACTCAACTTCAGTAAAAATCAGATTTTGTGATCTTGCTGTCATGCATGCTGTGTTTCAAAATTATTTTGTTTATGGCCCGTTACTAACATAGATTTTCTACATGACTACTTACAAAGTGTAAGCAATTGTGGATCTATTGTTGCTGATGTAAAATCACAGTTTGCGTTGCAGGAGGTTGTTAAATAGAGTATTGCAAGTTAGCAGTCATTGTACAACTACTTGGGAATCAGTAAAAAATTAGCATTAATTCTTCAGGTTTGTATGCCTGGGAAAAGGTGATAATTTATATGGTAATATATGAAAATACAAAGATTTCAAATAATATAATACTGTAATTAAAATACTTGAATAGGAATATATTTGTGATGCTTTTATTGTATGACAATATAATTTTACTTAACTGGATAAAGTATCGAATGATGCTGTTGCCCTAATGAGAGAGTAAAAGTACTTCTACCATTTAATTTCCACAAATTGCAGTGGAGAATTCCAAAATTCCATTAGTTTGCGAATGAAAATTAGGTTATTTATGAATGTCAATAATGTAAAAAAATTCTTGCTTATCAAATTTCACTTCTCTCTTTATTTATAATTTCTCAATATTTAAAAAACAATTTTTTTTCTTTTGTTTCAATGGGGGTTTACAAGTAGTGTAGAATGCTGCCTCCTTGTTCTTTTTAGATTTCTTCTGTGTTAGGGCACCGTCTCCAGGCAAATGTAACCAAATTCATGTCCGCTATATTTTGCTTATGAATTCTCTCCACACTAATTGCAAAAACTCAGTCAAATCCTTCCTGTAGCGTCTCCATGTGTTTCACAACTTCCCTTGCATTTGCGTATGCCAGGGATCAACTAGTCATGCTTGGTAAATGAGATATAGCTGCCCCTCTGGAGAAAGCCCGTTTGTATTCCGGAAAACTGTCTCGTTTCTAACTTAAAGGTTTATAGAAGTGGTTAGGCTGTGGTGACTTGACATTCTTGTATAATGAGAGAAAATATTCATTCCTTTGAACTGCAGGATATAAGTGGTAATGTTCAATATTCTTGTTTCATTGACTCCTTTGTTCAACCATTCACTTTGCTTGCACCTTAAACTTCTTTCTTTCAAACATGGATTCCCAAGAATAAAACGCCCAACATTATGTCAGTTTTACTGCTCGTTGTGACGTGTATTTGTACCTCATAATCTTTATGATTTCAAGTACTTCAGAGATGATCCAGAAATGAATTTGAAGGTGGGAGGCAATAATACCCAACCTTTTTTTGTTTCACTGCCTTTTTTCTGGTGTGTGCTATTCACTCGAAATGGGGAATAGCATTTAATAACATTAAAGTGTACAAATGTCTCCTATTAAATTGCCATGTTATCCTGTTCATACCCACTAATATCAGTCATGAGATCCTCTCAAAATTTTTTCACAGAAAGATACTGTTGGATTTCCCACCATACCTGGATTATTATACAAAGTATTTTTTTTGGAATTATGTCACATAACCTTGTGAACATATCCTGGTAGGTAACAGAACCCGAGTTGCATTACCAAGAGAACAAGCTTATCTTTGCAGGGATGACAGGAAATAATTGAAAGGTGCACTATATTGACAGCCTTGAGTGAATTTACTTTCTTTAGTATTTGCATAGTATTGAAATGGTGCAGTGGAAAGAGCTGTTTATTGACTTTTAGGGGAACCGGACCTGAAATTGGTTGTACATTTATTACTAAGGAGAGGACTTGCATGTTCTGAAATCTGCATTTATGACCTAAAAGTTCTGAAATATGCTCTTTAACATGGAATTAAAATTAACTATATTTCATTTTCTTTATAAACCGTTGTTGGTAAAGTTCTGGAGAAACATTCCTGCAATGAAAATAATATATTTTGCGCAAACTATGCAACTTGCTTAATTTGCCGAAGACACATTGCATAAATATGCACCTAAGTGTAGTGCATTACTTATTCTGTTTCAATTTCTTCCTGACTGGTTATAAGGTATATTATTTGCACTAGTGTTTTATTATCTATAGAAAAAAAACAACTGATATGCTCTTTCTAATCGATAAACACTCAAATAAATTCTATGAAACTCTTTACAAGTAAGTCATATGCAATATATAACACGAATATGCATAGTTCTAATAAACTATAGCATTAATTCTAACCAAAAGCTAAGAAATTGCACTTTAAAGGAGTTTATTTAATTTGAAATTCATCATAAATTGTGATGTCAGTCATTGAAAAGTAAATGACTTAGCTTTAAGTACAAACATTGTTTTTCAAAATGTTTTCAAGTAATAAGTCTACAGAGGGCTTATGCTTATTAAACTAGCGTATTCCCAAAGTTCACGAATTTGAATTTTTTAACCCCCCATTAACTTTTTTTTCTCCACAACGGTTTCTGCATATTTTTAATGCAGTAAAGTTTATTTCAAACAATAGATGTAATTATATTTTTTTCAACGGCTTATTTTTGCTTAAAGATCATATAGGGTGATCTGGGCTGTCCGGGTGCCCAGACAGCCCAGGTCACCCACATGACTGGCCGCGGAAGCCTACGACTTTATTAAAGATCATATAGTTGTGTGTGTATCGTAATTTTCTGTTATATGTTGGCGAAGTTCAGATTTATTTTGGACATAAACATACCAATTTTGCAGCCTTTCTTATTGCAGACTATTAGTCACCTTGGAATTTTTAAATGATTCATCCCATTTTTTTAAATTTATTTTTTCTATCATTTTGAAAATTGAGTAGCAATATTAGATTTTAAGAGAATTTCTACTTTCTCGATGCCGCTAAAGCTGGCTTTGTACTTGCAAGAAAATGGCGAGCAATATTATTTCGCAAAAGTTGCCAATGTGAAATTGCAGCAATAAATATTTCTTGCTAGATATTCCGGTCGTAATGTAAAATCGTTTTTCCGTCCTCGGAAAGATATTGCCGGCAGTTACGGGGACTAGAATTGGATTGAGGTATGAGCAAGATATTGCTGGAAGAAGCCAATGATGACCACTGACACATGCACAGGAATTACGTACGGTAATATAGAGACGTAATATTTCCATTTTAAAATGCATTTTTTCGTAAAATGTGGGTGTGTAAATGGTTTACGACAATAAAAGGAGTAGTAAATAATATTCCTTCAATGATTGATTATCAAAGGTTCAAATTTTGATTCAGCCTTAGATGCCTCCTGATATTAATTTTTTACGTTAAAAATTATTAAGATATTAATCTAATGTATATCAATTTTAAGTAGATCAGTAGTATAAAATCGATATTTTAAAACTTTCCTTTATGGTAGCATTACAAAACTACCTTTTCTGTTGCAAGAAATCGTTCATAATCGGGCATTTTACCGTACACATGATGACATATTTAGCCAATCATAAGAAGGCAGAGGTAAACGGAACAGCCAACCTCAGTTTAGGCTCATTCACAATGCAAACGTAAACATATTGTAAGCATAGCGTATATTCATAAGCATTAACATTAGTGGTAGACAGAAATATTCACAATGTCTAACATAACCGTAAGCACTATAATAGTTTCTATTGACTGTGACACAATCTGATATTCCTATTGGTTCGATGTGAGAATTGATTTCGAGGTATCGACTGTGTCCATTTCCCATATGGCGTAAGTTCTATCGATTTATCTCCAATTTCGATTCTCGATTTAGAGTTACCGATCTGTGATTGGTTTATTTCTTATGTCTTACGTAAGCATAAACACAGAAGATTGAAACTTGCAAGCTTTTAAGTTTACGTCTTACGTGTTATGCTTATGCGAAGGCATTGTGGATGAGTCCACTCATGGACGTAGTCCTAACTTTTATGTTATCGCCATGTTTGCATTGTGATTGGGCTTTTATCTTGCACAGAAACTTGTCACTTCTATCAAATACTTGATACTTGTCAAATACTAAAGTCGTCACAAGAAAGTTGTTTCGCAAAATTAAGTTTGATTCTCTTGTAAATTTATAATACTGTTATACAAAAAATAGTGTATGCAACTCGTTTATAATATTGCTTTATTGGATTTGTAAATATTTGAAAACTCGCTCCTAACCTCCCTCGTTTTCAAAACATGTACTTGTGCAATAAAGCTCAACATTATAAATGAATTGCATAAACTACCATTACCGAATTAGTAATTGCACTTTTTATTAAAAGAACATTACTTTACTCCCATAGGAATCGAAATCATTCTGTTTTATGAAAAATATTCAAACACGTATCTAATTCGTTCAAGCGCGCTTTATCTTTCTTCTTAAAATTCAGTCACACGTACACGAAAATCGTCGGCGTTACTTCATCTCATTTAGCACAATTAGTGAGATCCCAACTCGTATCTTCTGCCTTCCACTAGTTGTGTCGGGAAGTGAAGTATAACCTCCATTTCATGCGTCATTTTCCTTACGCCATCACGAAACATGGCAACAAATAGTCCTAATGTCGTCCTAAGGGGTCGTTCATAAATTATGGATCGCCAAACACGGGGGAGGGTTTCAGGCTGCGTTGCATAGTGGCAGATGTTAAGTAGGTACCACTAAATTTTTATTAAAAAACTAATTATTTCCACAAATTTTGTGGAAATAATTATTTTACTTAAAATCTTAATAAGTTTTGGGGACGCAGTAGACTGTATCAACGAGGGCGTGTGAACGGCTTGT